CATCGAACACACTAATATCACAGCTTCCTGTTTCAGTGGCTGTATGAACCACTGTATCTCCTGTAGCTTAAACTCTAAACCTCTAAACATTTATTTACTACATTTACAAACATTTACTTTATCTCCATGAGCTACAGTACAGCTACATCTTCCAGTAGGCCCATAGCAGCAAACGGCAGGCTGCGGCCCAATATAGCCCCCGAAGATCAGATACCAGGCGAGAGGGTTCAGGAGACACATGCAGGTCAGGGTGAAGTCACTAATATCTTTCCACTGCAGGAACATGTGTGCTTCCTCAGCTGTTGGTCGGGGTCTTTATGTGGCAGACACTGTTGTCCACCTGTCTGCAGGAACAGAGGGAGGAATGTGTTCATGTACTGGTGACTAACCCAAAGTCTTCTCAACACAGCTGCTGTAAATTATTCATATGAATTCCACTGACTGCAACTTTTTATTGTTTGTCTGGTGTTTTACAGTCTTTGTGCCACTGTTTCGAACCCACTGTGGCTCTGAAGTATATGAAAAGCTAATCGGGCTTCCCTGGCTGTGTCTTTGCATTGCCATGGAGAATTTGGCAGGTTGGCAATACAATCAGTGCAGACGCCGACTGTTTCTGTCTCATGGTTTTTAAACGAAGTTTGACATTATTATTGAGCGAGACAGTGATTAAGTGAAGTGTTTTGGTACTTGAGCAAACACAGTTTATTCTTTGTCCTCTGTTTAATGTATAAACATTAAAGCTGCAACAAAGGATTATTTTCATTATTAATTAATCTGCTGATTGTTTTATCCATGAATCAGTTCATCAGTTTGTCTATAAATGATTACACAATTTCTCACAGCCCTTTAAAGAGTAACTTAACCCCCACAGTGCCACAGTGATGTAGAGGTGTACTGCAGGACACTGTGACATCACTGTTGGGAGTGTTTGATATTCGATTTACTTTAACTGTTACGATAAGAGAAGGAAAAGTACCAAATCCTCACATTTGTTGTCACTTTTGATTAAAAAAAACAAATTGATTATTGCTGATCACTTATTTGATGATCAATAAATGATACAATGAATAATTGTATCATTTATTCTGCTATTTACATACACATGTTACCTGAAACTATGTCGTTTTTATGTGTTTTTCTTTTGGTTTTGTATGTTTGTTGATATATTGAGGAATATCTTGTAATCTCATGTGTGACAATTGTAACAATTTCTAAAAGAAAAAAGGTATCAAAAATACTAATAAACTGACACTGTGGCTTCATATATGACTTGTTGAACATGATCAACCCACATTGAGCTCTCCAGGATTCAGGTCTTGCCTAAGAGCTGTTGTGACCCAGAGAGCAGAAATAGCAGCTGAGTCCTGCGACAGGCATCTGGCACTGCCGAGAGGTTTCAGAGAGATGACTCGATGACGCCCATCAGGACATGTTTGCTGCTCACGGCACATAATTACTAGACAATATTTAAAAAAGATTACAGACAGGGAACACAATCCAGTCTCCATAGCTGCCATATTAAAGCACAGCCTGCTGGTGTTTTTATAAATCATTTGTAGAGCAAATAACACAGATTATAACTCACAGCATTGGACTGTGTGTTGGACGTGAAGTTAGCAGGCATCACATTAGGAAGCGTGTGTTACCTAGCAGTAGTTTGCGTAAACATGCAGTGGGTTGCTGGATTGAATTCCATTCTGTTGACTAATAAATATTGGAAACAGGCCTGCGTTGCCTCATTGTGATGCATATTGCTGGTCAGTGTTAAAGACGGAGATACAATATGGTCTGTGGTGCTACCTCCGATGTGTTTCAGTGGCATTCAATTACAGCCGGAGATTTGTTTACCTCTCAGCAGTAAGCTAACCTTGTCAATATGCTGTCTGCACATTTCAGTGCAGTCTATATAATCATGTTGTATAAATTATGAGGCAGAACATTTAGTTGAATGTTAATATCCAACAGTTCTGTAATTGTATTCCATCCATAGAGGCAATGTGCATATCAACATTTAAAAATTATATAATTAAATAATTATATTTTGCACCTATAATCAGGACACTGTAATTATATTTGAAAGCACAATACAAGAAGGCAGCTGACCTTCTGAAAACATCCACATGAGTTTAAATTAGGGCTGCACAATTAATCTCAATCAATATGTCCAAGTGCAATATTCAAGCCACAGAAGCTGCAGTTTTTAAAGGTAAAATGTGTAATAAAGCAGCATTATAATGACGTACTGACGTGCTGCAGAGACGCACTGACCTACAAATCTTGTTCCCCAGGTGTAAGAAAACATGTTTGTTGGTGCAGACTCCAACAAATGTCACAATCACAATGGCAATATCTGTTATCAGATCATATATACATCCACGAGGGAGCACAGCTGCCAATGTCGGAGGAAATCTGGCATGTGGATGAGATGGTACTACTAGTATTTTCATAAAACTCTCTTGCACACTTATTGCTAGAGTGACATTGGTTAAGCTACCGTGTTGCCAATCAGAGACAAACAGGGCAGAGCCAGTTATGTGATTGCCTGTTTACTAATTCAAACCAAAGCAACAGATATTCTGAAGTAGAAACTGCAAAAAAAACATCTAATAAACTCATTTAAAAGTTTGGCGAATTCTTTCCTGATGTTTTGGTTATGTATTTTGTCTGTATATATTAATATAATTATTTATGTCATTTTATTTTCTTCACTTTGGGTCTCAGGACTAAACAGACGTCTTCTTTTTGTTTGTATCTGAAGATCTGTGTATTTCATCAGGTATTTTCCCAGCATTTCTTTAATTTTTTCCACTTCACTAAATTCTCTTAACCTCCCTCTCGACTGGCTCCGGTCTCTGTCCCTTCTTAATCCAATTGTGTGATATGTTCATGAGGTTGTGACTGTGGCAGTGGGCCAGACAGCTCAAACAGAGACAGTGTTCATAAAGCCTCACTGCATTGGTTACATTTAGTTTCCCTATGTAATAACTCGGGGCGACATTTTGAAAGCAGGGAGCTACATGGTGGCAAAGTTGAGTATTGATTCTGTCACTCAGGACTCAGTATTGATCTTTCATCAAACTCCCACTTTTCTCCTGGGTTCAATAAAGTAAAACAACTAATCATCAGCCTGAGATTTGGAAGGCCACAGTCCATTTTAAGAAACCAGTCTTGCTTTTGTTTCTAGGTTTGTCACCATGGAAGGTTTAATGGAGCGGCTGGAGCGAGCTGTGACTCGCCTGGAGAAGATGTCCGTCACCATGCAGGCACCCGGTGGCATGGCCAACGGAGACTGTGTCAACGGCATCGATGGAGGTAAGTCTGTGCTTCAGTAATATTCAAATCAGAGGTTTGGGAGGGAGAGCAAACCAGCTTTATTCAATTCAATCATATAATACTGGCTTTTTAGTTTAATAGGCGGTGTTTTCTCCCTGTGTTTTCAGGTTTGTCTCCGTGTGTCGAAGCTTTTGACATCGTACTGAAAGGTCCAGTGTCAGACTACCTGAACTACAGCCGGGCCATAGGAAATGAGGTTGAGAAACATGTAAGTTGTGTTTGATTCGTTCGCTAAACTGTCTCTAAACAGTGTCCTCTTACTGTTCAGCTGTCAACATCCAGACGAGAGAAGATGAGGAGGTCATCAAAGTGTTAATAGACTCAAGAGTCCCCTTCAGTTATTACTGTTTACTCAGAGCTATAAGCTTTACGAGCAGCAGCGAGGCAACTTTGTTTGCCCTGGGTTTTGGCTCTCAATCCAACATACAAACTGGTGGCCTTTAGAAGAAGATATGGGATAAAAATCCACCAAAACAATCATTTAATGTGATTTTATTGACTGATTATTCTCCCAAAAGGGCACCAATCCAAGGAAAGCTTCCAATCCAATGTCATGATGGTTTGTTATTTGCTATATTGATAGATAAATGTTAAAAAAAAATGCAGGAAACAGAATTTATATACTTTGGTTTAAAATTGAAACTAAACCTTTTTACACATGCTCACTCCAAATATTTATAAAGTATAAAGTCTCATCGTTCCACAGAAACGTTTGGTGAATGCGTTTTGATGAATGCACATTCCCACTCATGTAGTTTACTTTGTCAGTCTACTGTTGGCAAAATCAAACATTTAATCATCTTTTAAAGCATCTCTCACACGAAGTTCAGTCTTCATTAGGAGTACTACTGTGTCAAATTTTAGAAAAGATCTATCCCCTAAAAGTTAGTACAATACTAATCTAATAACTCAAAACATAAACCTTATTTTAATGAATACTTTAATTCTAAAGGCAAATGTTGTTCTCACTTCATTAAACCCTCGTTACAGTGCAGATTTTGCCCACGATTTTGAGAAATCCTCAGTGTGAAATGTTTAATTCTAGGTTTGTTTTGTACCTCGACATAAAGGTAAATTGTGCAGAAAAGCTCTTTGTAATTAGTCAAACTCTCAAAAGGGAGCACACAGATGGAAACCAGTGGAGCAACTAGTGCAGTCTCTCTATGCCAACATTTATTTGATACATTTATAAACATGGATTGTTCTACTTCAGATCCCACTAAGATATGCAATGCAAGGTTATGTGTGTGTGTGTGTGTGTGTGTGTGGGAGGTCCATAGTCCAGAAGTAGAGGGCAGGTGTGTTCATGTGTGTGTGACTGAAAAGGTTTCCTGTCGTCTACAAAGCCAAGGATGGGAGTATGATTGACCCTTGACCTTACATTCATTTATTTACAGCTGTTGGAGCACCTTATCCTATTTTGTAATGACCTGTACTCTCACTAGGGCTGTGTGTTTTGTGTTAATCCAGTTGGCAATAATAGGCTAGCTGTGTTATGTCCTTGGAATGAATCCAAAACAACAAGAAGTGCTCCAAAACCGAAGAGTAAACGCAGGCAGAGAGAAATTATAGCAAAATGCTTGTATTTGTTCGTCTCTACCTTGAAATAAGAGCTCTATCTCTGTGTCCCATCACTGAACGGGGTGAGATGGAGGGGGAGTGTGTGTGCGAGAGCCAGAGATACTTTCTTTAAGTTTGCAGAGCTCCTTTTATGGACAAAGCCTCCCTGGTGGTTCCCTTGGCCCGCAACTGGAGGTCTCAGACACACACAGGACACAGCTGGCTGGGACTAACCCAAGCTCTGCGTGTGTGTGTTACTGCACTTTCTTTTTCATGTCTAAGACAGATTCACTGCCTGTATTTAGGCGTGCGAGAACAAGGTAAAGCATAAACAAAAGAGAATGAAAGAATGGGCACTGTAACATTGTTTCAGTACACAATGTAGTAACAGGCTGCTTATTACAATCCCTAAAATGTGTCACGTTTCATAATCCTGAACTCATCTGACTTTTATTCTTTATGATCGACAGGCGGATATGGTGAACAAAGCCCTGCAGACTCAAAGAACTTTCCTCAAGATGGCTGCCACACACCAGGAACCTGCACAGGTACAACATACTGAAACCTACTGACGGTCACTGTTAAGGTATATTGCAATACAAAGAATACCCATGTTAGTAGTTAGGATCTCCAATTGTCACTGTAATTCATTCCATTGCAAATGTGTTGATTCCATCACCTATCCTATTGAACAACCACTGCTGACCCAGTCTGTCAGGTATATTCTCAGGACATTTCTATAAAAGTCTCCAAACTTTTTGAGAGTGAGTACTACCAAAAGTGTCAGGAGGATCTGTATACCATATTAAGTTGATGCTTTCAATAGAATAACATGTATTTTTAACTTATTTTAAGTCCAATTTAGGAATTGCAGGTGTGTTTTTTCTCTGGTTATTAACACTGAATGATCTAATGAGAAATCTACTGATATGAACCGAGTGTCAATTTACTCAGCTCGCCTAATCAAGATAAACCA